TCCGTTGTCTTATCGACAAATTATTATTTATAATGAATAACCAGAGTGCGTCTTCGAAAATTTCCTATTTCTATGTGGGCTGAAATGAGTAGTAATTCTGAAAGGACGACAAGTGCTTGTGAATGTTTTTATCATAAGTACAATTCGTTGTTCTATACACATCATCCGGATATATAATATACTTATACATTTTTGTGAAATATTAAAAAAATTCAAATCGACACCAAAATAGCAATTCAAACTTCAAACGGCCGTACAAGAAACAAACAACGAGAAAACCAAAAAATACTCCAAACAACAAAACTTTATTCATCGAAGACAACATAATCAATTTAAAAATAATAAAATATCAAGATTAGATTTTGTCAAGTGAATGGCAAGCCAGTCACCTCCTCGTGGTGCACCCTGGGTAATAACTCTAAATGAACTGGGGCGATAGTTAAGGATATGTCAAAAATACGACCTTTTTTGGAGACACACTTGGGTGTTATTTCTTATATAATTACTCTTATGAGTGTTTTTAACTAATTTCCTTTACAAGACAATTATATTAATTTTGATGAATAAAAAAACAAAATGAAATAATTGTAGCCTAATATTTAAAAATTAAAATACATTTACATAAATTACATCATATTACGTATACAAGGTGAACCCAATTTAATATTGTATTTATATCAATGGAAAATACTAAAACGTATCGTAGAATATTTGAATTTACTATAATAATAAATTAACTCGTAAATTAATAATATTGATTATTAACAAAATCATTATAATAGGTAGGCACTTAAGAGGACGCTAGACGCGATTCCGAATAATCTATTGAACTCTGTTATGTTTATTGTTTAGACTGTTTAGAGTGAATTGACAACTTTCAAATTTAAACTCACTCTAAAATTGAGCTATATAAAATTAATAATAATTACATAGTCTATTTATTGCGTCTAAATTTGATTATAAGTCAATTCTCGCTAACATTAAATATAGCAGAGTTGAACGAATTATTTAAAATGTAAAATTTGTTATGTTATGCGTTTGTTTGACTGAAACATAAACAGGATAAATTATACAAACAGTTAACAAATCCCGAGGGAAAGGCCCCATAAGCCTCCCTGCAGGTGCCCTTGCTTATCGTATATCGTTAGTCATACATAATAATCATATTTCATACGCAGAACAATATACTAATTATTTTTATTTTGTTATTACGGACAATAGTATATTTAACTTACCCATATTTTGTATTCCCATCTAGTTTGTTAGCTGAAACCTTTAATAACCCAACGGTTTCTTCGTTATTTTTACCGAACATAGCAACTCAAATGATGTAAAACTAAGATTTAAAGCAAATATAAAATACACACACTTTTTTTACACATTTATATAACATTTGAAATATTTGATTTTGAATAACTATTAAATTGATAAGTATAATAGGCTGGTTACCCAATAAGTGGCGAGTTTAATAAAAGTAATTTACCCTGCTTATCTTAAACTACAAGTACCTACCTAATAATAATTAATAAATTATTATTGCCCATGCAAATGTTTAAGCTCGAACTGTGAAGATGCAAACGGCTAAACGTATCGCTTATTCGCTTTCAGATGATTAACTGTGTGTTTGAGAATTAGTAGGAGGGCATGCTATGTAGTAGGTGTACACGCAGCTATGTACATACGTTTTTATAGCTTATAGCGTGATTGGTTACATTTACTAAAACAATTCCCACTACCTACAGACTACCATAAATCCTAATCCACCTCTAACTGGAAACAACAGGTTTAGCATCCTAATTTATTCAAAAATTCTATCGAAATTTCATTAAAATATATTATACAATTATGTTATAATCCTATATGTTACATAGTACTATTAATACTAATACAATTTACAAATATTATATATATATATTGATATACCCATTATATATTTCAAAATTACAAAATGTCAGAATGTTAATAATAATGATTAAAATGTTGGGTAATTATGATAAGACATTTATTTATTAATATACTGTATATAGTGTGGCGGGACCGCTGTATAGGGACCGCGTCAATAGTGTATACTGTATACCTATTTTACACAAATCGTAAGTTAACAATTATACATGTATGCAGGTAATAACAATTGAGTAATAACTAATAAGTGACAGTAATAAGGCTTTAAAAAAGCTATAACAAATACAAAAAAGCGTACAAACGATATAAATAGCCAGAGAACGTAATCAAAATAGCTAAGGGCCATTTAGATTAGCAGCTCGAAGCATTCCATGTATATAGTAGATGATTGTAATTTATGTAATCATTAGCAGAAGAGTGGTGCTGGACCATAGACATACATATGTCTATGTGCTGAACATACTGAACTAGGTTTCCATAGATAGGATTATATTATAAATTTATAACTAATATAATAAATTATTCTAGAGGGAGCCAAACCCGCCAGTCCCCTCTATTTGCGCCTATGGACCTAATATACGTTTGTGTGCATAACGAAAGTTTAACCTAAAAATTGATAGAACGATTGGGTAGGTAAATATGTTACATTTACATATTGTGTACTAATTAGTATTACGTTTAGGTACATAAAAAAAACCATCCTGGGTAAGTCTTAAAACATTTTTTTTTTAAATTATATTACTTAGCTAATTAACGAACTATCGTCTAGAATGCGATCTATCGGTGAATTTAAAAGTATAATATATGCGGTCTATCGGGGATTTAAAAATAAAATATGCAATTCACCGCAAATAAATAAATAAATAATAGTACCATAAATTCATAACTATAAGTATAATATAATTATATAGTATATAATTTTAAAAATTTTAAAAAAAGTTTGAAAAAACACAAAAATGTCAAAAATAATGGATTTTGAAATATTAAGAACTTTTTGGTATAAGAATAAGACATAATAACTGTAGGGAAGAGGACTTGAAGCATTTGCATATTTGTTTTACACAGTCACAAAAATAGCAGAGTACGATACAATTAATGTATTTCATGTTTTCACAAAGCTAGTTTTGAAATTTAATTGTGCATATAAATGCATATTTTGCGTATTTTTGGTTTTTAAGGTATATGGTATATTTTACTCTTTTATACGCTATTTCATACTTTTAGAGACATATTTAACTTAAATCGATTTTTTTCCACTGTGACATTTTTATTTCAAACAATACAGTCAAAATGTTTAGATAAAAATTTATTTATTTTTAATTTTTGACGAATAATATGGTTTTTGACTGTCCACGGACCAACTCCCACATAGGAGAAGCGATAACGATCTAACGTCGCACATTATTACACCTACCCGACCTACCATGACAAAATAAGAATTCGAAGAGTAATGACTAATTTCGAAAGACACTTTTCATTTTTCAAAATATATCACTTATATCACAAAACGAATTATGCATATTTGATAAGTCTTGTGATCAATTCTCGACCAATGAGAAGTGGAGCATAACGTATACGCCATATTTGCGCAGAAAATCATCAGAATGAAATATTGCTGTCATACCTGTTTATTTTGTCGTATGTCGTGCGACCTACGACATCACCACCAGCTTTGTGCGTACTACGCGGGCTTTTATACGATTAGGATTTATTCATAAAACGTTTCTAGACATGACAATTGACAATAATCAATATTTCAGTATTTAGTCACAGACTCTCAGTCAGTTTGCGGAATGAACATTCGTGTTAAAACAAATTTTAAATGTATACATTTTTGCATATTTAGAGCTACAAGTTCTCTGCCCTATGACATAAGCGATATAAAAAAAATACGATACTTCACAGATAATGTTCTCAACTATATTGTATATTTCTTAAACTTTTACTATGCAATAATAAATACACCTCCACTAAAACAAAGCTTCTTAAACATAGAACGCTATTAAAACCACTATGRACCTACGACCTTCAACTTTGGGACAATGCGAAAAAAACAAATATCTCAAAAATCCAAACATTTTAAAATATTGCACTTAGAAAACTGACGAATGCTTTACCCTACGTGTCAAATCATACACTACACACAGACTTAAAACTCAAAACAATAAACGACAAAGCAAAAATATTTTATAAAAGATTCCATCGCCCAAATCAACTTAAAAAAAACTTGGCCACTCCCACAATACCTGGGAATCCTCCGAGACGTTTGAAGCTTAAGTGGTGTCGTGGTCTCTTAAATTAAATTAAATTAAATTTATTATCAAGCTAACAGAAAGTGTCATCAATGGGTGGCTCCTTTCTTCAAAAATCTCTTAACCTGTCAATTATATTTAACGTATAATTAATGATACCTACAGATTGTTTATTTCTTGTAMAAAAAATATTGTATATTTGTCTGTCTATCAATCCCACGCTAAACAGTTTTTGCTATAGCAACATATATAATTGAACATTATTTGTTAGACGGAGACAACACTTACGGGTCTAGCGTCCTCTGAAGAGGATGTAACACTGGCATTTGCTGTCTCTCTCTAACAAGTTTTTAGCAAAATGTACATATTATATAATATAGCATAATTGTTCTTAACTCACTTTAATACTGAACTGTCGCAAAAAGCGCATGTACAAACACAGATGATATGTTAACACCATCAAGCTTCGTAAGAGGTTGATTCCTTGATTCATTCTAATTTTTAAGCTACACGTGATCTGCTGATGGTAAATTTGGTTTTGGTATGTTACTATGTTAGTAACAGTTACGCACTTGTAAAACGGAGACAACAAATGTCAGACGGTCAGTGTTACGTTCTAGCAAATAGCAATCTAGCCAATAGCCATCAGCATGCTAGCCTCCCGGTCGGGTAATTTGGCGGTATATGGTATATTCGAACTGATGATATCTAAGATCTCTTTGCTATCAGATGTTCGTGGTGTCTTTGGTTTGTCCGTTACATTTTGTCCTAACGGTGATTAAACAATTTGACCAATGAAAATACGGCAAATCCACAATCGATTGCATTTGGGAATTCGGAATAGTAATAATAATATGCGTAATGCGATTTATTAATTTCTTTTTCCGTGTTCTTAAAATATATATTATATACGTTCGGTGAATCTTTTGCTTACTTTACCTGTGAGCCGTAACTGCCGATTACATTAGTGGCAATACAAACCAATATATTATAAATTGTATTCAAGATCCATAATTCATAAGATTAAATTTACGTATTCCTCGTAGTATTTATTTATCTTTACTGTGATATTTTTAGTCATAACTGCTTGTTTTGCTTTTGGAAACCCAACGTAATTGTACATCTTTCGCACCATATTTTGCGTTATTATCCCGCAGATCGTAAGTTATATATTTTCATTAAACCATGGCCCAAAACGTTAATCCAAGGCTCGAGGGTAGTTCGTCAAACTCGCCGAAACGGAGTGAAGATATGAATGACAGAATAGAATCGAATAAAGTCGTTCAAAGGTGACGTTAATAAGAATGAAAATAAATTTTCAAAGTTATATATGTTACACATCTTTCGATTTGGTTTCTATTAATGTGATATTATGTTTTTGTTTTAGATTGCAAAAAGAACTAATGAGTTTGATGGTAAGTTAAACCAATTAGTGTTCTTTTATGATTTTTTTGTTTGTTTGCTATGTACTTAATAGTTAATACAAAACCATTTTATTAGAAATCATAATATTTTAAACTAAATACATGTATAGTTAATTATGATATACCAATCATAATAGTGTACACATTTTAAAGATAGAAAATATAAAGCAAATTAGTCTAATCTGTCCTAAAATAAGAATGTCCTGGATTTCAGATTAAATAAAAAGTATTGAACTTTTACAAATTATTTTAACTGATATAATTTAAAATGTATGATATTCCTTAARCAACCATAGTTCAAATAATTATAACAAAAGTAAATTAATAAAATGTATTAATTAATAGAGATAAGCAATTTATTTAATTATTAAGAAAAAAACTAAGAGACATTTTAGTTGATGCTTAATAATAATATGAGACAAAACTATTTCTTATATTTTTATCATGATTTTTGTTAGTTGTTAAACACACCATATTAAATGAGTTGCTTGACATTTTTATTTGTTAAAGCTTACAGACCATTAAACTATTAATGTTTCACAACTCAATGCTTTTAATTATGTTCTGTGTTTTTAATACATGGATAAATACCTAAATGATAGTAACAAAATACATACAACATTAATATATTCAGTTCTTTACAACCCATTGAGTCGTGAACAATTATTTAATTTACTGTACTCTTTGTGAATTTTAAAGAATAAAATCTACCTGTTCAACTCAATAGTCTTCATTAAATTATTATTTTTATTTTTAGTTAACTAATTTTTCAGTTTATGTATGTAAAAAAAAATTCAAAAAAATTAATATAATAAATATGTTTGTTTAATTATCATTTTAGTATAATATATCTTATGTATTAAAAATCCTGATATTAAATTATGTTTGATTTATGACTTTTTAATTGTCATTATATAAGTATTATATTAATTATGATGTTTATAATTATGGAGTTTCCACAGTTCTTATTTAAAAATATTTAATTACTATTTTATATTTGYGTGTGTTAAATATTTACAATGTATATTGGTAAATAAAATATAAAACAATCAATTATTATTTTATATAATTTAAATTACAATTATTTATCATTCAGGAAAATAATTATTTTAATGTTTCATCGTTTTAGATGTCATGTGATGAATCAGTATCAGCTTTCCCGGATGGTGATAATCTATTTAGATGGATTGCTACAATAGTTGGACCAAAAGATACTGTAAGTTTTCATTCACTTTTAAAATGTAAAAAAAAAAATCTTCAGTTTATATTTCATGAGCAATTTTTAAATTTTTTAGGCATATGAAAATTTAAAATACAAATTAAGTATGGAATTTCCACGTGGCTATCCATATAAACCACCAACTGTTACTTTCTTAACTCCTTGTTTTCACCCTAATGTGGATTTTGCAAGTGGTTCCATTTGTTTGGATATTTTAAAAGAAAAATGGTCTGCTATGTATGATGTCAAAGCAATACTTATATCATTACAGTCACTTCTTGGAGGTAAATATATATTTTGTTAACAAAATACCTTATTTTTTTGCATATGTATAAATATATTATAATGAAGAGTCTTAAGTATAATATGCTATACATAATAAAACACTTTTAAACATTGGTATTGGCACATTAATCATGTTATAACTAGCATATTATATTTGTTCTACTGTATTTTATAATATTACTCCATTTATATTTTTCCTATAGTTATTTTTGTTATAACCATAAATTAAAACTAATAAATCATTGTAATCAATTAAAATAATTTCAGAAAGTTTCATATTTTATTAGCTTTCTTGGTATTAATTTAGTATGTGACCTACAGTGTTAAGTATTTTAATTAAAATTATGTTATCATTATTAGTTTAATTAGCAATACAAATATAAAATAATGAAAGATTATATTTAATAATGTCAAAATCAGTAATAAAAAACAAAAACTATTAGAATATTGAATACCTATTAAGTATAGCAATATACCATAATTATTTTAAAAAAATGTCATAACATTATTTCATTATTAAAATAAAAGTTTTGCAAATCACTTTTAGTACATTCCTTAAAAAACTTCAAAAAATGTTACTTATCTGGTAATAGATTGGTACCTGTATATTGTCTGTACACAATATAAGTAATTCTATAATTTGTCTTTGGTAGGTCACAAACTAAACTCAATTTTTGCTTGATAGGCACATACTCAATTAATACTGCTTGTCTTATATGCAATTGGAATTCTTTTAGGCTTGCACCTTTTACATCATATCATTCTTATTATGATGATTTCTATAGTTAAACTTTTAAGGATTAAAATCTTGTTAATTATAAGAAAAAAATATATTTAAAATGCCAATGAATAATAATAATATGTATTTTTAAACAAAAGAAATAGAAAAAAACTCAAATATTTTCCCCTCAATATTTTTAACTATTATWTAATTTATAGAGTAAAGTTAGTTATCATGAATTTTTCGAAATATTGAACACTTTCCAAAACTAATTACTAACTTTTATTTTAAAAGCATATAATTATTTTACAGAGCCAAATAATGAAAGTCCTTTAAACGTTAAAGCAGCACAAATATGGCCGAGACAAGAAGTTTTTAAAGCAACATTGTTAAGTACTTACAAAGAGCCTGAATCCACCTAAAAAATAGTGTACCAATTTCAACTACTAAATAGTTTACTGTTCAACTTATTATTTTTAATTTTCTTTTAAAATACAGTCATCTATAGGATTATTAATGTAAACTATTTTAATCAGACGTCAGAGAAATATAATTATTTTCTGTAGTGTATCATACAACTTTTTCTAATTTCTAGTATTATATTACATTTTGGTTTACATGAAAGTATGTACTTTTTACTTATCCTTTTTCTTACTAATACTATATGTATGATCATATTCCTGCTATTTAGGTATGAATTAAACTATTTTATATTTAATTTGTGACATGTACATGGGATTTATACTATTTTTATTATTTATACACCTACTTTTTTATCTGTTGTAAATTTATAATAATATGTATTGTTTATACTGGGTTTAATAAAGCTGAAATTATGAAATATAATATTTACACATGTTAAGATAATTTATAATAGTTTACTTCTTTATAACAATTATTTATATGAATATTATTAATTGGTTTAAAATGTTAATGAATTTTTACCTAAAAATTTAAGTGAAAGATTTGCTATTTTTATAAAAAGAGCTTAAAATATGATAGTTGATCTATTTTTTTTAAATTTTTGCTTTAAAAAATCAAAATATATTTTGGGCTTATATAAATAATACATTTAAGAAAGTTTCATCAAACAAAATACACATATGAATAATGTATTAAAAAGTAAAATACTATGACAGTTAAACAGTTTTGGCCTTTACTATGAGTAGTAGTAATTTATATATTACATTTGCTCTTTTGAAAAMAAATTATTAATTTTATGCTCAGCCATTTTTGATTATTTTTTACCAATCATTTCCATTTAAGACTTCAGTAGCATGCAAATTAATATTTTTAAAGTGACCAGTTTCCTTTTAAGACTGATGAAAATGATGGTGTAATTAGAATTTGCTGGTGCAAAAGTTAGTTTTAAAGTTATAGCTTAACGATATTTATAGTATTTTCATATACACATGACGTGGTCAGTGGTCACTCACCCTAACAAAATATAATAGAAAACATCCTTCGACTTATTGTGTAAAACCACCTTGGGTGGGTCCCAAACTTATGGATATAACTTCAAAATTAAGCTCGAGTGCAAATCTCTCACCACCGTTTTCAACGTGATTAACTACATAATTTATTATTATATTATAGTTGAAACTATGAGAAAAAAGGATGTCCAGAAACGGTAAAACAGAAAAATGTAAAAAATTCTGAAAAGGGATTATTTCTTAAAATGTTTGGTGGAAATTTGAATGTGATTTCACATGTTGAACGTAAATCCAATATATTGAGTATTTTGAAGTATTGTGTGAGACTGGCCAAACCGTTGAGAGGACGACACACGGGCATTTGTTATCTCCATCTTACAAAACGTACAACATGGACAATTTTATGTTCACAATAATACTTTTACTCTGTAATTTCTAAAATTAAAATTAATTTACCTCAAATAATATTTAAAGACAAGAATATTATCTAGGGCATCTCTGAAGATTTTGTTGATATTTTTAAGCAAGTTATAACTATTTTATTGTTTTAGAAATAAATGTATTTACAATCTGTAATATAATAAAACAATAAGTAAATTTGAGATTTTTTCAAGGTTTGGAGGCTTGAGCGAAGAATGCGTCCATTGACACTACTTCAACTGGTTTTTTTTTTTAAAGTTATAACGACCATTTTTAAACTTTTTTTTTGTGCATTTTTAAACGATCATAGCTTACTTAAGAATAATAATATAAATGAAATCCTCCGATATGTCCTAGATAATTGTCTTGTCTTTAAATATATTGAAGGTAAATTAATTTTAATTTTAGAAATTACAAAATAAAATGACTAAAATGTATTATTGTGAACATAATATTGTTCATGTTGTACGTTTTGTATGACGGAGAAAATAAATTTCCGTGTAGCGTCCTCAGTCCTCTTCGAATGAGCTTATAACAAAATCTACTGTTCTATGACAAAATCGGCGTGGAAATCGTGGAATCCTGAAGACCTGAACTTACTGAAAACCACGAACTAAGATATACAGGAGTACAGGACTGGAAACAAACAGGTTAGGGTGTGTGAGAGGTAAATCCACCTTAATGTATACAATGAGCGGGGTACGGGGGCTTCGAGTTCTTGTCAACACTAGGGCCATCTAGGTATCCAATACAAGAAATKAATAAATCAGTATGCTATCAACATTAACTGGAACTTAATTTCCCGCCTTTTTCATGCTTTGAAAATATATTATTATACATTTTATACCTACTTAACATAGTATAATTATAATTCATAATAATTGTGTCTGTTTGAAACAGAAATAATGACTAATATTTTCTAATACTACATTACTACATCACTATGAGAATGAAACAGTTTACTTTGTCACAAAACAAACAATTAAAAAAGATGAGAAGTTACAAAAAAAAAAAAAATTATCAAAACTTATTACTACATAGGTAATAGGTACTTTATAAATTATAGGTAATAGGTTCTACTTATTTATTATTTCTTAAATGCTACCTAGTACCTATATATTAGATATTAGCAGTCCTGTAAAGTATTTGAGTAAAATTATTCAAATACTTTTTTATGGGCTAGTTGTACAGTCTCTGATTAAAGTTAACCRGAGTTTAATCGGCCGAATTTGCACGGTTAAATATCTGTTATCAACTGATTAAACGTAGGTAATCGAAGTTTAACCGTAGACGGTACAACTGGCCCTAAGTATTGAATACATTTTTAAATACTTTCAGCATGAAGTATTTTTAATGGTATTTTAATTACTTTTTTAAGTATTTTGTATTAATAGTACTTGTTTATATTGAATACTTTGGTTTTTATTTTTTCATTAAATTCAATACTCCGCTGTCATGCAGTGCTTCAGTGCAGCGGGTATTTACTATTTAGTGTGGATGGAGCAGCCATGACCAAAAAGAGAAGCAGTATAACTGATGAACATTTTGAAAACATTATGTTCTTAAAACGTAACAAACATTTATTCAATAAATTATAAATAAAATAAAAATTATTATAAACTTATTACGTGTCTATATTACGATAAATCATTAGAAACCTACTAATTATTAAATGCATAACTGAGAAATATCAAAATCAATAATAATAAAGCTGGAAAGTGGGTATCGCTCTGCTGTACATTAGCTAGGTGGTGGGGTGGACCTCTGACTAGGGTAGGCTAGATTTGAATGCAATGATAGGTATCATTGTATACGAAAAACGATTCTGAACGGAGATGATTT